TTATTATTATTATTATTATTATTTATCCTAAAAGGTGCGCAAAACAGGTTATTCACTCCTACAGATGATAGCTCTTATATTCAGGAATTCAACTCTAATTCAAACTAAATCAGGTATTTTTGTATCATACGTATTGTTATAATGATATGTTTTATTTTGCAATTTGATATTTCTATTTTCTAATATCCTTTATATTTTAATAAATATAGGTTACTACATTTGTTCGTGCAGTAGAGGATTTTGGGTTGTAATGACAATCAACGAATAATCTTTAAAGGTAATATGCACATTTAAAATAATTGAAATATTTATCATTAATTTGAATTATCCTTGTTATTATTATATATTATTATTATTATTATTATTTTAATATTAGCTGTAGGAAAGTTCATCATGCTTAGGTATTATGAAGAACTCTTGCTACACTATGTTTTGAATAAATTCAAAGTATTTTCTTACTACATAGTTACAAATATTATTTATTATTGAATTTAAGATTAAGCAGTACAAAAATAACAAAGTCGAATCTGATAAGAGATCCGAACTATTATATGAATTTATCTAGTAGATATTTGATTGCTTTGTTATTCCACTGCTTCAAGTAAGAAAATTCAAATTATTAGTACTTCTCTGATTCAATTTTTTGGTCATTAAATTTATTTTATGGTATTCATACATATTACTCAGACTAATTTCTATATAACCACAAATGCAAAATACAAGACTACGTGTTTTACTATCGTAAAGATATCTGGTTATGAATTAAAAAATACAATATGGAATCTTTGCAAGTAAACGCCTTTGAGGGACTTCCCGACGTATTTAAATTCATTATTAAAAATACACATCTTTAATACGTACCTTAACATTTAGTAATTAATGATTATGTTGTATTTGTAGGAAACTGAGAAACAGTTCACAATATCTTGGGATATTCTACTGTTCAATTTTTTATTAATCTAAATAGTGTGCAAAAATAAAGTCAGTATTTAAATAACTATCATTGTATTCTTATTTACTTAGCATTAATTTTGACATAATTTACTTGTTATGTGAATTAACAACGTATACCTGATAAATGAATATTTTACTAGAATAGTGAACAGTGAAAAAAGCTAAGCAATTCATGAACGCAATTTTATGAGATACGTTTCAAGTCCTAACATTTGAAATAATGGTGTTTATAGCTTTTAAGAGATTTTTTACTACAATATTTTTGTATGCTAAATGGTTTTGATCTTGGCTGAAATATGTATTTGTTCAGGACATGCAATTATCTGATGAAAAATCTTTGAGTTCAGTGTTCAATTTTAATGAGATTTATGAACGTTGAAAGGATTTAAACAAAATTTTACTAAAAAAAGATATACACAGTATGTTAATACGTATATACCTATATAGTTCTGATTTGTGATTACTGTATTTACGCGAATTAATGCTCATAAACGTTAATTAGAGACGTACAATTTAAAAAAAACCAATAATTAATTTAGCTGAGTGCGATTGATAGTTTAGCTTATTGTTACGGTTAAATTAATTACTAGTTTTCTTTAAATTGCATGTCTCTAATTAATGCCCATAGGCGTTAATTCGCTTAAATACGATATTATTATTTATAGTTACATATAATAACTAGCCTTTTAATTTTGCAATCAAAGTTATACTTCGCAAAAGTAGATATCCAATGTTGTCATTCATAAATACGTATGATGTGGGTTGCCTGAAGGGTAATACAATGCGTTCATTTATAAATAATATGTCAACTCGAAAGGTACGTACTAGATTAACCAGTTTCGTAATACGTATTTTTCATTTTAATCATTGCGATTAATTTTAAGTTGTTCGTATTAAATGATATACGTACGTACTGTACATACGTAGAAGGTTGTTCTGCTTTGCAAGAGAATCAGCACAAAAGTTCCCAAATTCAGTTTTTATTGAACGCGTTAAAGAATCATATCTAGATAAGAAGAATATAATTGATCTTTTAGAAAAGCATATAAAGTATGATTTAATAAAAGTACTGAGACTGCTATATTATAACATGTAATCTGCAATATAATAATACATATGCCATGGTTATTAATAGGTTGGGAACAAGTTTTATAGGCAATGTACCGGTATTTCACAAAGGTCAGTGTATCGACACTACTTTGTAGGTTTGTATTAGCACAATTGATAAAGTTTTTTCTTAATTCATATACACACAATGATGACTTATGATTGTTAGAACTATTTTTTGCTTTTATTATAATTATCTGTACATAAGTACAGACAAAGAAAAGGCTGAAAGATTTGTAACCGCAATGCATAAAGGTTATAATTGTGATATGTATATGTATTTTGAATAAGGTGAGATTTTATTGAATATGTATTTTTTTTTAGGTTATCCAAAATATAAATGTGTTGTTAACAGAGAAAAGAATCTAACAAACTTCGATATTATTGTTGATAGAAAGCCGATAGAGAAATTGGGTAATATAAGTGATAAATCAAATATTCGTCTGATCAAGTAATTTTAACAGATTTTTAACTTAATTGAAAATGGTCTTTAGATTTTCCATGGTGTGGAATTTTAATTCATACAACTACATTGAATTGTAAAGTTGATTATAGCAATATTGATATGTATAGCTTTTTACGTAGGTTTTCCTATTTCGTTATTTGGTATAACTTATATGTATATACCACTACTTATGTATTTTGATAAAACTATGTAGATATTGTAGATACTTTAACAGTCAAGACATCGAAGAATCCTGGTGAAGCTTTAAAACAGAAGATGATTGAGTAAATAAATTATTCAAATGTGAGAAGTTTCTAACTGCAAAAAGAAGATCTACTCTGACTTCACATTTATGACAAAAACTAAGATTACTAATTTTAATGAAATTTTTGGAATCTGTGCTGAATAAATGTAAATTATAAGCAAGGTTAAAGTCAAAAGTCGAGTAGACTTCTTAAAACCAAATGTGTATATATGTATTCTATTTCTTTAGTTGTATTTGAAATAGTATGTCTCTTTTTTATCTGATTGGTTATTATAATCTTGTGATTTCTAGATTTTTACCTATAAGCTTTTTGTCTATTGACACATAATAAAAAAAAAAAGAAGCAAATTAGATGTTTGTGATCAGATAATAATTCTTTCTAGCTTATTGAATAATATTAATTTTTCTATTTATTATTTCAGCTTTTAACCTCATCATATATCTATTAAATTGTTCTTGATTTTACACATTTTTGTTTGCTGTTCTGACTATATCATTATATTGTATGAAAGCAAAATAGTTAGTACTAAGATGTCTATATAATTTCATATATTTTTAAGAAAGTTAAATATAATATTTAGTAATTTATACAAATGTTGTTTCAAAAAAAAGAGCCTCAGTCTTAATTCTATTGGATAAATTATAATAATTCTTAAATTAATTAGAATTGTACTATAGTTAAAACTCCAACTTTTATAAAAGGTGCTTGGAAAATAATAAAAAAGTACACTTATGTGGATAAAGTATATATTTAAGCTAGGATTTAAAAGTGCATTTAGAGAGATTGCGTAATTAGAGGCTCATTGCAATAAATGTTTAGCTGTAATTAAATTTTAATTTAATCTATATACTGTTAGAATATGCTACAGATTTTATCTAGAAAATGATAAATTGTGTCTAATCATATTCATTCATTTTAGCTATTCTAAGTTCAATACTTAAAGGTATGTATTTTTCATATGTACACTTAAGAATTGAACTATTTATCACTTTACTAACCTATTTACTATTATCGAATACTTGATTCTCTGCTTTTTACACTTATGTTTAATCACAAATCACCATACAGTATAGACTAGAGGCCTAAAATATAAAGTGCCCCAAATACTAAAGATGAATTAATTGCAGCTGTGAATGTAAAATACCCAGATACTTAACAAATTAATTATGAAATTTGTCAACTAAAATATGGATTAATATAGTACATATAAATAATTTATTTTAAATATACTCATTAACAAATGTTTATTACATTTATCAGTTACATGAAATAATATAACAACAAAAGTAAATAATTTATTTTAATAATACTATATACATGCAAGAATGCTATATCTATACTATACTAATATTAATTTATCTGAATTTCTATCTAAATAACATAGTTAGTATTCAATCTACTGCACATATAATCTAATTTAAAGTTGCAAATAAAACTTATAAAAGTTAAGCAAACAAAAATCTTATGATGAAAGCAGTTTCATCTGCAACTTGATCTGAAAATCCACCTTCTGTTCCTAGTTTTGCGTGACAACATCATGCAGCTACTTATTATATATATATTTATATTATTATTTCTAATAAATAATATAAAAATTAATATAAAAAATCAATAGTTAATATTCTGTATAACCACCTTTAGCCTCTATTATAGCAGTAATTCTTTTAGGCATTGATTCATATAGCTTATTTATTATGTCCTACCCAATTTCATTCCATATTTTGACTATTCTTTCCTATAACTTTTGTTTTCCTTTACTACCAAAATATTTTTCTTTTAAGCATCTTTTAATTTCACTCCAAAGATGCTCAATAGGGTTTAAATTAGGGAAATATGGGAACATTTATTTGTTCTTCATCAAGCCAATTTTTTGTATAAATAGATTTGTGAATCGATGCATTATCTTGTTAAAAAATCATATCATCTTCAACAATATCCAAGAGGCAATCTTTAAGAATATTAAGATAATCTTCAGAATTTAAGATCTCTTCAACTAATTGAAGTCAGCAATTATCAGGACTTATGCAACCCCAAACCTTTATACTTTCACCACCAAATTTTTTTTTTAGAATAACTTGAGCATCATTTAATTTTTTGTTATCTGGTTTTCACCAATAGTATTGCTGTCCCTTGAAAGCTCCAAAAAGTATGAATCTACTTTTATTTAAAAAAATAACTTTTTTTCAATCATTAACTAACCAGCTTTTATATTTCTTAGCAAACTCATATCATACTCTTTTTGCAGTTTCATTTATTACAGAATGCTTTCTCTTAACTTTAGCAACAAATTCATGTCTATAGAGAATATTTTGTACGGTTTCAACTGATATCTCATAATTGGTCTCATGACTAAATTTTGAATAAACTTCAGTTGCTGTTTCGCATTCTCCAAAATTAATTAATTCAACTATTCTTTCTTCCTTCTCTTGTTTCAGAGCTTTTGAATGGCCTGATCTTTTCAAATCTTCAATTTTTCCTGTTTCATTGGCTTTTTTAATTAATCTTATTATAGTCGAATGTGCAATTTTTATATTTCGAGCAATTGCACATATTGAAAATCCTAAACTATAAAGTAAAATAATTCTTATTCATTGGTAAATAGTTAATTCAACTTTATTATTAACCTAAACAAAGTTTAATATTTTTGGTTTATTTTTATTCTTAGGCATTTGTGGCATTTTTTTTAATATTTATTGTTATATATATATATGTAGAAAAAATTAGATTTAATGGTTTGATAGATAAAATTAAGTTATAACTTTGAAGTTTTTGCAAAGAAAAATTGTAATGCTTTTATAAATTTATATTAATGCAGGATGAAATGGCTTTAATTAATTAATGTATTACATTTTTTCATTAACATTTACTTAATTCTTAAAAATGTAAATATCGATAAATGTAATTACATATTAAGTGCATAAAAAATGTAATAATCAATTGTTAAAGAAATTTTTTAAATTTAATAAATTTTATTTTCTTTGTTTAAAATTACTTATTGTTACGTATAATAAACCATTATGATTCTAGCTATTATAGCTATAAATAATTATTACTGTATTTAAGTGAATTAACACCCATAGGCATTAATTAGAGACATGCAATTTAAAGAAAACTAGTAATTAATTTAACTAAAAACTTTTAATAACAATAAGCTAAACTATGAATCACACTTAGCTAAATTAATTATTGGTTTTTTTTAAATTGCATGTCTCTAATTAACATCCATGAGCATTAATTCATATAAATAAGATAACCACAAATCAGAACTATATAGGTATATATGTATTAACATACTGTGTATGTCTGTTTTTAGTAAAATTTTGTTTAAATTCTTTCAAAAGTTTATAAAACACTATTGTTTCAAATGTTAGGTCTTGAAATGTATTTCACAAAATTGTGTTCACAGATTGCTTAGCTTTTTTTACCTTCACCTATTCCAGGAAAATATTTATTTATCAGGTATATATTGTTAATTCACATAACAAGTAATTTTTTCAAAATTAATGCTAAGTAAATAAGAATATGTACAATGATAGTTATTTAAATACTGATATTATTTTTGCATACTATTTAGATTGATAACATGTCACATTATTCTTTCTGATCCTTTTGGAAGAAATTGAATAGTAGAATATCCCAAGATATTATTGTCTAAGAACTGTTTTTCAGTTTCCTACAAATACAATATAAATATTAATTACTAAATGTTAAGGTATGTATTAAAGATGTGTATTTTTAATAATGAATTTAAATACTTCAGAAACTCCCTCAAAGGTGTTTACTGGCAAAGATTCTGTATTGTATTTTCAATTCATAGCCAGATATCTTTACAATAATAAAATATGCAATTCTTGTATTTTGTATTAGTGGCTATATAGAAATTAGTATGAGTAATATGAATACTATAAAATAAATTTAATGACCAAAAATTTGAATCAAAGAAGTACTAAGAACTTGAATTTGCTTACTTGAAGCAGTAAAATAACAAAGCAATCAAATATCTGCAGATAAATTCATATAATAGTTCGGATCTCTTATTAGCTTCAACTTTGTCAGTTTTATTGCCCTTCACAAAAAGCCACTTGCACTGCTTAATCTTAAATTCAATAATAAATAATACGTATTTGTAACTATGTAGTAAGATATGTGTACGTAAATACTTTAAATTTATTCAAAATCTAGTGCAGTGAGAGTTCTTTATAATACCTAAGTGTGATAAACTTTTCTACAGCTAATATTAAAATAATAATAATAATACGTAATATATAATAATAAGGATAATTCAAATTAAATTATTCTAAATATGCATATTATCTTTAAAAATTATTCATTGATGTTATTACAACTCAAAAATCCTTTGGAATTACTCATTTCAGTACTGCACGACAAATATAATAACCTATATTTATTAAAATATAAAGGATATATTAGAAAATAGAAATATCAAATTGCAAAATGCAACATATCATTATAGCAATATAATATAAAAATACTTGATATAGATTCTAATTAGATTGAAATCCTGGATATAAAAGCTATCATCTGTATGAGTAGATAACCTGTTTTGCACCTGTTAGGATAAATAATAATAATAATAAAAGTATAAATTATTCAAATTTATTTAGTTAATTTTGTAACAGAAATGCTCCTCTATCATCAAAGAAATAACACTTGTATATCTACAATTTTTATGTCATAAAATAATTTGATTTATCATATGCAGCACTTAAATCAAGTACGAAGGTATGTCAACATTAGATTTCTAAAAATAAATTTTATTATCAGTATTTGTTTGGTATTTAGTAAATATACATATTAGATTATTTATTTCTTAAAAAAAAAACCAAACCTGAATCTTAGTAATGCGATTTTGATACAATTGAAATAACAATTGCACCCATTCTTGTCATAATCAAACATGTTGTGAAGACTAAATTGCTTTAAAAAAATATGTTAAATAACATCTCTTGACATTTTGATATTATTTAAAATATCTGTAAAATATGTATTAATATACATAAATAATCAATAAAACATCAGGTAATTATTTCTGCTTTTTGATTACTATGTTTAGACAATCCGAATCTGACAGATCTATTAGCATTATAAGCTGTAGAGTAGAAAATATTTTGAATCTGTTAAATATAAGATTCGCAGATACCAGATCTGTAGTGTGTATTTATGTGTGATGCTTTTACAAAGTTCATCAATTAATACTTTTTCTTCCCAAAATTTAGTCAGTATATTTACAAATGAACAATAACATCTGCGAACAACAATGAAAGCAAAAAAACTGATTAATAAATATATATATATATTTTTTTTAAAAAAAAAAACTTATCTAAAATTTAAACAAAAAAAAAAAACTTATCTGTATTTTTATTTAATAAATTTTCTTAAGCTAATTATGGCTGAATTTTCAATCCAAATCTTTTATTAGCAATAGATCAGGAAAAAAATATGTTATAGGCAGAAGTTCATCTAATTGGCTAATAAATTCCATTTAAATTTTATATTATTTATACAATTTAGAATATTTTTTAAAAAAAATGAAAATGAGGATCACAATTCTAGTGTAGTAGTTGGGTTGTCATCCTCTAAGTGGCAGGTCTAAGGTTCAAAACCACCTATGATGAAATTTAGAAATTATATCTGTGTTATGGTAACTGTCTTCTGTCAGTCAGTTGGCCTCATATGGCTGTTATCCAGGTACACCAGGTTGGGCCCCTCAACTTTGGGAGCTCAAGACATCTATGTGAAGTGTAATATTACAGATACATAGAGGAATGTTAACTGGTGTTGCATAAGACTTTAGTACAAATTTACAATAAGACCACCAGACATAGAAGACTAAGAAACTGAGGCAACAAAAACCCACTTGGAAATTCCTGAGTAAAGAGGTAATATGAACTTTTGACAGTACTATTGGATTAGTTGAAGCCCATGAAACACCTTCATAGAAACAAAGATTAAAACCAGATAGCAAAATATGTGTAGAGGAGCACATAACCAACCAGGTCATGGGTTCACTAGAGGAAAAGGATATAGAAGTATACTATACTGGGCCATCTGGATTGGTAGTATGAAATGAAACTGACGGTTCTGAGTTGCAGCTAGTAAGAGATGATAGAGAAGATGCCAGAAAGATGGGTACTGGGATTCTAGTGAACTTTACAAGGGTAAAAATAGTGTAATATAGCAGTTAAACAGGTAACCCCTATGACTGCAAATGTTAGGTAACTATAGTGTATTGCATAAAACTAGGTCTAGATGTGTAGAATATAAAGGCTCTAGTAAGTTTTCTATCAAGGATAAAGCAGTCCTAAGAAGACCGATAAGCATCAGAAACTTGGATGGGCAGTGCTTTGAGATGTTCTCGTAATACAAGGAGGACTGCATATGCAGAGGGTTTAAATAGGCAAGACCTCTAGCTGGCTTGCAGTTATGACAACTAGTGTAGAACTTATATAGTAATATGTAAGCAGACTACTTAAATTAGGCACCAAAAGTGCATGTGTGGCTAGTTGTAACCTTTAATATAAGGTGAGCTCCTAGTGACATACCATGTCCTAATATACTTGAATAAAAACATTGCTATTCCCAAGATAGAGACTTAAACTTAAAAAAAATAAAAAATAAAAAAAAAATAAAAACCAACTATAATAAAGTAAAAAAATTCATAAGTAGAAGATTTTATTAGAGCTGTAGTCAAAAATAAGATTTAATTCTTATTCGTTTAAAAAAATTAGCTATGTAGTAGGTAGTGTTGTTAGGTGAAACTTAGAGGTTTTGCAAAAGGTGAAAGTCAAAACTAGTTTTAACTTTCATTAAAAAAAAATTGAAAATGGTGAAATGGCAAACTGTCACAACTGTCGAAACTGACAAAACTACTAAAAGATAAAAAATAATAAAATTAGTAAAATATAAGAAAATTAATAAAATAAGTACTAATAGAAAGATTTATTTTTTTATTTATATATGTATAAGATAAAAGAAAGTATTATAATGTATGTTCAATTACAGAGATCAGAAATAGATAATTTTATTATTATTTGATTTATTTTAAATAAAGTATCAAAAACTAGTTGTCAATAATAATGTTAATAAATTACTTATATATGTATAGCATCTAATTTAAGTTTTAATGATGAAATGCTAGTAAAGAAAAAATCTTAACTATATAATAGTAAATTTATTTAAATATTTTGATAAGTTTATTTTATATAAATAATATTAATATATAAATAAACACTGCTAAAAAAAAATAGGATTTCAAACTTTGAATTTTCAGATGCTGAATTGATTTATTTTAAGTTCAAAAGCCCAAAGTCTAGTTTTCTTTTAATAGTATTCAAATACAAATAAAAGACCATCACTTTGTTTATTGCTTTTGTACATTTTTATATAAGCCAGTTGTGCTTAATGGCCATATGTAAAATATTTTGATTCACCAACATGGTTCAGTCTTTTCAAAATCTTAGAGGATTTAATCTATGCTATGTTTAACTTTCTTTAAGGGCTTTAGCTTTACTGGGAGTTTCGCCAGAGTTTTGACATTTCACCAGAGTTTCAACATTTCACTGAAGTTTCACCAGTTTCGACTTTTACCAGGTTTAGTTTCGACTTTTGCTATTTACCAAAAATAGTTTCATCTAACAACACTAGTAGTAGGTAATATAATCAACAGTTAACTAATTTTAATTTGTGGATTGCAGATTTTGTTGTAAGGTTGTTAATGAAATAACCTACAAAAGAGCATTCCAGACATGGGTTAAATGTTTTATTATAGTCTGAAGCACTCTATTAACATTCTACTTTTTTGCAATAAACAGAAATATTCATATATTAATCATATACTACTAGACTTCTTAATCGAGACATAACTAAGCATAATTCAGTAATTAATAATTTCTAATAAAAAATTAAAAAAAAAAGTTAGTTAGAAATTTAAAAATTTTTGATCACTTCAAACACAGTTACAGACATAGCATATACCCTGACTGCCAAACAAACTCA